GCACAAATATAGGAGCAGGTAATAGAGGTAGCAAGAGAGGAATGGAAGGGATTAGATTGTAATAGAATCTATAGAATTATAGATAAAATTCCTAATAGGATTCAAACTTTAATTGAGAAAGAGAGGGCAAGAACAAAGTATCAGGAACAGGCTTGGATTTCTTTTAGGAGAGATATTTGTACCTGTAGTAAAAAATTCCATTCCTCAATTGTTTAATAACTTTCTTCCTGCAAGAGTACATAAGTTTAATCCTATAATCCACTATTTAGTTAGTATCTATATTGTGAGTCTAATCATCTACTTTATAACTTATAGGTAGTTTCTACAACCATCTCAGTTTTTCTCTGCTCTGGCCTTAGTGTCAGGACAGTGGTAAAGTCCAGCTTGCAAAATAAATTATGTCATCCCAAATCTACAATTTTTAGATTTATATTAAGCTTATTACTTTGGATTCTACACATCCTCTTAGGTTCCACTTTTGGAATTTTCAGTATACTTAGCTAGTAGCTCTTTTATAATCTTTTTATATAGTCTTTATAAGTATATATAAAAGAATTAAATATATTAAGCATTTTCAAATCAATCTGGTAATTCACTATCTATTAACACTCTCTAGTAGAAACCAGATATGCCTGTCCAAATACTATATCAGCAAATCATATCAAACTGCATCTGAAATATGAGTTTGTGAAAAAAGTTCTCTGAAGTACAATCTTTTACCAAAATTGAAAATCTTTATATAAGAACTTGAATACTAAAATTAAATTACTATTTACACCTAACAATACTCCAAACAAGTAACTACTTTATATACTTTCCAGTATTCAAAGTGATACCATAGTAGGATTAATCAATTTTTTGCAAACTTAACCTTTAAAATTGCAATACAGGAGTGTGCTCTTATTTAATTGAGCTCAACATTTTACAGGAGGTCCAACTCTTTTATTAAAGTAACATATTTTATATTTTAGCTAATTTTAAATATAAAATTTACTCTTATCAGATGACCTTGAGATGTCCTCCACATATCATACACAGGATGTACAAGAAAATCTATACTTAAACTGATTTTCAATATGCACACGTTTTTATTTTTACTAATGTTGAAGACAGGTATCACAGTGAATGCCCAACCTAATCTTGACTTTGGTACGGTCAGGAGGAGTTACAAGGTGATAAACTATATATATTTTACTTCTCCTTTTCATTATATTTAATTTATTTCTCTTGCTATTATTTTGATTTAAGTGATATCAGGTGATTTGTATTGACACAGCGCTCTGTTCGATCATGATGAGACGCCCATGTCCGCAGACATTTTCCAAGCGACTAGCACATCCTGTTACGTTAACAGTTAGCATTTTGCACGTCCCGTGTGTCAGACGCACGGGATGCACGGGGTGCAAGCAATGATTTTTGCTGATGTCCACTGGTCGCTCTGCCATTTTCCTCCCTAGCATTCCTAATATCTTGGTGACAAGTTTTTCACGATTTCCGAATACTTTTGAATCCGTCAAGTACCCAACTATGTTCTATAATTACCGCAAGCTATTTTACAGCAGTAGTGCAGTGTGAGAATGATTTTTAGTTTCCAGTAGGTACTCCACTCTAAAGGTATCTTCAGGAACAATCACTCTGCCAACTAGGGCGCCAAGCCCCAATCCTACTGGCTTGGAGCTAAGAGATCCTGGGACGGACTTAGAGAATTTCATCAGTCTTCGCGGTATTCTGTCTTCAATCAAAAATTTACCAACTTCCGAGTTGGTACCGTATGCCTGAGATAAACAGGGGTGACGATCTCTACCGGTATTATCAATAGTGCCAGCCCATTTCTAGCAAGCAACCCTTCCTGTCTAATCGCATCGTATCGAAATTATCCCACTACACCCACAAATACCAACGAGGAAGTGTAAAATTTCGCGATCGCCCCACAGACAGTGCAGCCTAATATAAGGCTGACCTAACCAACCAACCAGCCAACCACCACTCAAGCTCCGCAAGCAGAAAAGGACTCCACCCGGGACTAGAAGTGGCCCAAGCTCCCCGCTCCCCCGTTTCCTTCCCACCCCCCTCCCCGCCCCCGCCGAGATTATGATAGACACGAGAAACTGACCGACTAATGGTTGAATTACGAACAAACGGAGGAAAGAGCCAAACAGATCAATTGACCCAACCGGCAAATTCCTAGAAAAGCAGCAATAACTCCACAAGAGGCTCGCACAGCCAGTAGGTAAGCAGGAGCAATGACTCGCTTTTATCTCTCAACTGGTCTCGCTCCCTATTATTATTCCCTCTTTCTATCGACAAACCCAAAGTCCCCGCCCTCCCGACGCGTAAACCCTCCTACATCCAGCGGTGGCGAAAAAGAAAAATATTGATTGCTCAGATTTGCTTTTGGATCACTCCAGAATTTCTTGCTTTTTGGATTTGGTTTGGTTTGGCCTTCCGTTTTGCAAATTGGATGCCGGAGAGGGGACAGGGCTGGGCTGGGCAGGTCGATTGCGAATGTGGGGTAGGGTTGCGGGGTAAGGTTGATACGATATGCCGTTTTATGATACTCGAGTACGGTAGTCCTCCTCTTCCTCTTCTCTCTCTTCCCTTCTTTTTAGTTTTGTTTCCTATGTTACTTTTGAAACCAATGAAGGGAAGTTGATATAAACAAACTGCCGGTCCTGGCTGAAGCGGGGGGAAGAGGAAAATTAGCGGGTGGTGGCGGTAAGTTATTGGTGGTGGGGTCTGTGTGGGTGTATGGGTATGTGATGAGATGTGCATCTGTTATCGGTAGCATTGAGGTTCTTGAATCAGAGGAACCTCTTGGCGCAGTGATGTAGGGACCCTCCCCTCGACATGCGCCTTCTCGCTCGTCTATCCCGTGGTCACGATGAGAGTGGGGGGAGATGGGAAAGCTGGTTCGAGCAACAATACCGGTACTGGCACCCACAGCAAGAGAGCTATCAGATGCGCCTTTCTTGATGTGTGACTCAAGTGGATTCCGGACAGTTCTACGAGCACTGCTTCTGATTACCAGCTTCGGTAACTTGAAGATGTGTCTAAAAACAACATGGCTATCCTCGTGGAAACGGTGCTCCCGTTTACATCCTCTTCACGAGCCAAGCTGAAGTTTGGAAAACCTCTCAAAAAAATGAAGTCGCAACTCGCGACTGGTCAGAGAGTTCTTCGACCACTTCTAGATCTGAAGCACAGCAGAAATCCCTATTAATAGGATCCATCCGAACGCTCGGACGGAAAAAAAAAGCAGTGGAAAGACATGGGGACTTTGCCGTTCCGCAAGCGAGCGAACGCACTCTTTGGAATCGTCGATGACAAGTCGCGATTCGAATATTTGTACCTCGCTCAAGCAAAAAGGCAGTCAAAAGGCGACCAAAACGGGGTACTGTACAGTACAGTACTCGTACACATCGCAGGAGGGGTGGCGGTGGTGGTCTAGAAGGGGAACTAAGCGTTCAGCGCATCTTAATTCCCTCCACGAGATGTTTTTTTTTTCTCACCGTCTCGATCCTTTGATCCCCTTTCTTCTCCACGATTTCTAGATCTTTTATCGATCTCCAGAGCCCCACCCCCTCGAAATGGTTGCCCTTGCACCAACAAAAGATGATTGTTTTACCAGTAATATGGCAGGAGCAGTAGTGCTAGTAGTCTCAGTAGCGAGCGTTCCTTGAAGTTTTAGGCTGCTCCTCCCAGATTCCCGATTGAAACACAAGCTATTAAAGACCTGGCTCATCCCCACTCTTGTTTCTACCAGAATCATAAAACAAAAAACATCCCACCTCTCCCTCTCCCCGTCCTTCTTTCCGGCCCCAACTGCCGTTTCGCGGGATTGTGGATGAAAGAAGCTCTACGGCATCCGGACTCTCGTTTTACTTCAACGGTGGGAAAAGAATAGAAGAGGAAAGCTTTCTCTCGTTTTTGCTTACTTTTTGCTTTCTTTTTCTCAATCGCTGGTTGAGCTCTTTTGGGACGAGATCCCTTCCACGCTTCTGCCACTCGTTTCGCACGTCACTCGTTTCGCCGCTTTCGATCCTCACATTTTTTCTCCTTTTCCCGGTGTTTACCGAATTATCGTGCATTGCTTCTGCTTTACCTCTGCAACTGCTCCTACCTCTGCTTCTGCTTCTGCGTCTGTTTCGCGAACGAACGGATCATCGACCCACAGCAAACCACAGGCTCAGTTACAGCACCGTGCTCTACAGCAAACCACAGCGGAGCCGACGGGATACAAAACGTGGGAGAAAGCATTCGTTCACCAAGAGGAGAGAAGGGAAAAAACGCGATAGGGGGGAGAGGGAAATTTTTTTACTCGATCCAATCTTTACAGACCCCTCCCCCAATCAATCAATCAATCACTACCACCACCATCCCCATTCGTTTCCATTCTGCAACCGCTCCATTTAGTTTCCGGGAAAATAACGTACAGAGGAGACACGAGGGAGAGAGTTATTTCATTCCAACTCATCTATCGAGAGAATTGTTTTTTGTGAAAGGAGGAGAAGAGAGAGGAAGCGAGAATTATTACCCTTTTCCATCTCTCGTACTCGTACACTCTCTCTTATCAAAATTTTCCCTCCCCCTCCCCCGCGATCCCCTACACACCTGTCTCCAGGTCGAAGGAACTTTTACTCGTACATCTACATCTCACCGCGCATCTGGTGTGCAAGCGAGGGAGAAGAGCACACTGCCTCTCTGTCTCTCTCTCTCTTTTTTTTTTTTTTTTTTTTGATATATACTTTATAATACCGTTCCCTTAATTCTTGTTTGCTCCCTGGAACGGAGTACGGGGTTAAACGGTGGACTTAAGCTCACTCATCATTCGCACCGACCCAGGGAGAAAGGAAAAAAAGAGGGGGGTGCGGACGAATTGAGGTGTGTGAGTGGGTGAGTGTGAGGGATTGAGTGGGTTGCTTTGCGTGCTTCGTCCCATTGATTGCGGTGGTAAGAGTGTGAGTGTGAGTGAGTGTGTGAGTGTGAGTGTGAGTGCGAACGTGGATAATTGACCCGCATCGAAAAGACCTTGCTGGTTTTATTTTTTTATATTTTTTTTTTCCTGCTGGAGTACAGTACTAGTACATACACTTCCCTCCTCCTACGAGTACGGTACCGGTACTTACTCTACCCTTGATTACCGATCCTCTCTTCCCCTTCCCCTCCACTCTCCTATGATACCTTGTCATTCTTTGGCGAAAAGTAGCTTGGAGGAATTTTCGATACCCAAAAAAGGGAAGAGAAAACAGGAGAAAGCACGAGGGAATAAGAAAAAGCAAGAAAAAGTGAGCCAATTCTGTTTTATAATCCCGAGAAGAGAGGAGAGAGAATCGAGATTAACCGTGGCATTCTACTTCTCGGTTGAAGCGAAGGAAGGATCAGGCTTCCAGAAGAGAGGTAAAACGGTAACGGTAGAAGCAAGCTAGGCCGCGGCTCACTCTCCAATTCACTGCTTGTTACTGTTCTCGAGTACTTCACTCACTACACACACACACGCCTACTTATTTTCTATTGGATTTCATCTCCATTTTCTTACCCAACTCGACTGCCGAAATCACATCGACTATCATACCTCCTGCTTTCCTCACCACTGCAGGAAGGTGAAAGAAAGGGCTTAGGAAGTGGGAGAAGAAAAAAAAAAAGGCCACCTCCCACCCACATACATACATCACACTCACACACACACATTCAGACCATTACCCACCCCCCCCCCTCTTCCCTTTCCCCTCTTCTAGGATACCGGTAGCCCTCACTCTCACCATTTCATCCGTAACATACCTACTTTCCCTACCCACGGTACTCGAGCTACCTCACCACCTTCATACATAGACTGCTTCAGGAAAAGGTCCCCAAAAAATAATTATATACTGGACCCATCCTCCTCCCCCCCTTCACACTTTACATATCTATCTATTCCTATCATACCTCACCTACATCATCACATCGATTGATAGCACTTCCTACCATTATCCGTCCATTCCCTTCCGGTGGTCAGGTCGGATCAGCTCGGCCAGCTATATATCGTTCCTATCCCCCGAGCTCTCTTCTGTCGGAACAACAATCGACAAATCTTCCTCCTCCTCCCCCCTACTATCCCCTCTATCCTTCTCTCCCCTACCCAACCCTCAAACCCAATCAGCCCACAACGATTATCCCTACCGATCTACTATCTCTCGATCAGAAATAAAAGTATAAAAAAAAACAAAGCAGGATTTTAAGACACCGCCTCGACAAAAATAAAGTGGAGACCTCAAAACTGCAATTCCGTCCAACAACCTTCCCTGTTTTAGACCGCGCAGCAAGCAACGCGACGCAACACCGCACAGAGCACTGATAGCGGAAGATAAGCTTCCAAAACCGGGCCGCGCGAATTAACGAAACCCAATCCCCATCCATCCTTCTCAATTAGTTCCCCCTTGTCCTGCCACCTGCAAGCCCTGCTGTTCCGGGCGCGGGCGGAGACAGCCTTTTCCACACCAGGAGAAGCACCACACTCAGTGCAAAAATAATATTTAAAAAGGGTCGGGAATTTATTTTCCCATCAAACCGTCAAACTGGCTACCAACAGGAGACGTGGTATTAAACCACCAGCAGCGCCCAGGACTGCTTCCACCGGGACTCGTGTGAAGGGATTGAAGGCGGGTAGCAACGTTGTTAGCGACGTAGATGCGTGCATGGCGACGAGTTTTCTGCCTTTCTGGTGAGCTCCGCTCTTCCTCCCCCTTTTGCAATTGAGGCGCTGACATGTTTCTTCGTTTGAAGCGCGCATTGCGAGAATCAGATTGTAGTACCGAACACGAAGATCCTCTACTGCTCGGAGAAGTGCCGGCGAAAGGACCAGTCGAAACCACCACCACTGTCACCAACTCTCGCCAGTGCTCCATTCCACTATGCCCCACCGCCCAGTCACATCCCTGCTCCGTCGAGAAACTACGTCGAGCCCTCAATGCCTACAGCGCCCCGCGCCCTGCCAACTCCCCCATCCCCGCAGCTCCACCCAGTCTACTTCCCGCCAGAGCCGGCTCCCCTCCCATCGCCGACGTCCCTTCCATCCTCCCCGTCGTGTATATACGCCCCACCCCGCCGGCCGCCCATCCGCACTGCGAGTACGTCGCAGTACCACACGCGCCCGCTGCCACCACTGCATAACCCGGAATCATACTCTTGTTCACCGCGCTCGATCGACCTGGTAACGCCCTGGACGGAGGGGGAGGACACGGGACCATCCTCACTTCCCACAAAGGAGTTCGAGAATCAAGTCGGTAGCTTGAAGACCCTATTCAATTTCGACCGCATCCGTGGAACGCCTACCTTCTCCGAGACCAACACACCGGCTGGGCGGTCGCCTGTGAGGAATGGGGTTTTAGCGAGGGGGTCGAATGGGGTGGGTCGGAGTCCGTGGATGTGAGCGTATGCATTGCGGCCTCTCCATCTCTCCAGTGATTGATGACGGTTGGCCGCATTGCTTCTTTGTTTGTTTGTCTGTTTCTTAATAGCGATGTGTGCTATCTATCTATTTCTTTTTCTTTTTTCTATCTTTTATTTCTCCCATGATTGTTTAAATTATCGGAAACTGCCGTTTATGATGGGATTGGACTGGTTGGGATATATATATAGACAGGAGAGGAGTTCTTTTTTTTTTCTTTTTTTTTTTTTTCTGATAATCTTTTTTTCTTCATTTATTCTGGATACTGCATGGCGCTCCTCTTTCTGTCGGGGTTTTTCTGTTTTCCCCTCTTTCTATCATAGCGAGGTGTTAAGTGTAGTACGCCTTTCTTATTATTTTACCTATATCATTCCTATTCCCCTATTTTCTAAACTCTTCTTTTACTACCCCTCTCATGCACATAGGACTCTTGTCATCATCTTCGTATCATCATAGCACCTCGTATCATAAGGCTAGTGGGGACCCTGTTTTTCATTCACACCCCTCAATTATCTCACCGAGTTTCCCCTTCTTCCCTCCCCCCCCTACGAGTACTTGATCCTATATCATCATCACCACCTATCAATCATGTAGGAAGTCGAGCAAATAAACAGACAAACGGACAAACATGAACATGTAATGACACGCATCTCAAATCCTCAACGAAACGGAATGAAACAAAACCAAACTCTCCGAAGCCACACCCGCATGGGCAAATTTCTGAATGACCAAACGTGACGTATGAGCACTTGGGAACAAAACAAACTAAAAAATAGCGGTGGACAATTACTTGTACTGTAGAAGCAAAGAGGAATAAATAATACGGCAGCATTACATGCACGCGCGGGTGTTGAAGTCCGACTCAACCTCCATCCAGGGGTCGCATCTCCTTTTCGAGTGAGCTTTCGTGAAGATCAGATTGCCCGTCATGGTTGTGCCGGGCACAGCGCAGTAGATCACGATACGATCCTACCGCACATTGCGGAAGGGGATCCCGGTCGCAAATGGGAAGGAAGCAAGGAAGCAAGTAAAGAAGGAAATTACGAGTACTCGTACCTGAGTAACCAACCAAGTACAAGTACGGCCCTACTTTCTAAACTTGGAGGAGCGAGAGGTCTTATCAAGAGCTGAATCGTGCGCTTCCTCGGCGAAAAGGCGGGAACCGTCACGCTCGGTTATCACAACGATTGAGGGGGGGGTACGATACCATAACAGTACGGTAACTTGTACGTAGGAGGCTTTAATTTCCCGGGCGCGCGGGAGCGCAGGTTAGAAGTACTGTACTCACTCGTAGGGTACGAGTACGGAACGGTGGTAACCTGCTGTTTTTGTAGACTACCGAATCTGCGGTGCGATGTGCTGGTGCTTACGTATATTCTTGTATGAATACCATGGTGGTACAGAACATGTTACCATATTCAGTTTTGTCGTCTTGTGCGGTTAATTTCCTTGCTTAGGTGATACGGATACTTTTGCGGGGGAGGGAAGGTTGTGTGTTTTAGGTTGTTCTTTCCTTTTTGTTCCCCCTAGAAAGGGGGAGTCATGTTTTATCACTCGGATGTTTCTTGAGATCTTTTTTTTTTTTTTGTGTTTGTGTTTGGGTTTGGGTTTGTGTTTGGGTTATATAGTTATACATGGTTTTCATGTTTGGGGTATATCATATCATACTGATTCCCATGGCTCAGGGGATCTGGCATATATAGGATCACACACACACCCTCGTCTGTGACTGTCCTCAGCCCTTCATGAGAGGGAGAAATCGCGCGTGTGCAACATAACGTACTATACCCGAGATGCACGATACACCCCAGGAAATGCATAACTTGACATTCCATATGATATGTCCCTTCTTCCCCTGGGCGCCTGTCATTCGAACAATCACATACCCCACACGAACATGATCATCTCCCCCCCCCCATAATTGCCCTGCGCCCTGCACCCCTCAAACCGAACATCCCCCCCCCAACAAAAAAAAAAACCCCGATCTCCTAACATACCCACCGATCTCTACGCGTGGGGTATATCTTACACAGCTACCATACCTGGTTAATACCTCTTGTACCTATGAGATTTCAGGCAGC